ACTTCTTTGTTATTGGTACACAAGAGTATATCATCCATAAAATGACAAATTCTAACCTTAGGAAACTGTTTTCTAACTGGTTCAATAGCAGAAGAGACATATATTTGACACATAGTGGGACTATTGGCCATGCCTTGTGGCAGGACCCTCCATTGATATCGGTGGTCTGGTTCCTCATGATTAATACTTGGGAGAGTGAAAGCAAATCTAATTTTGTCCTTAGGATGTAAAGGTATAGAGAATAAATAATCTTTAATATCTACTATTATAATCTCCCAATGTCTAGGCAAGGCTGTCAGCAGTGGCAGACCCTTTTGAATTGATCCTAATAATTGCATCTGATTATTAATAGCTCTAAGATCATGTAATAACCTCCATTTACCTGATTTTTTCTTAATCACAAATATAGGCGTATTCCATGGCGACTGAGAATTTTCTAAATGTCCTAGTTTTAGTTGTTCTTTAACTAGAGCTTTTGCAGCTGCTAGTTTTTCAGAGGTTAACGGCCATTGAGGAACCCATACAGGTTCCTCTGACAACCAAGGTATAGGCAATGCACCCTCAATGGCCCCTAAGAAAAAACCAGCCCTTTCCTGTCTTGATTTTCTGTAGTAGAAACAGGGCTGGTCCTGCCTTGTAAGGCCTTCCCCAGTCCTTTTCCAGGGACACACCCCATTTCTTTCATCATTTTTTGACTCTGTGTAGAATAATCATTGGTGAGCCTAAATTCCAATTGTTTAAGAATATCTCTTCCCCATAAATTAACTGGAAGTGGCAAGACATAAGGAACAACTGTCCCTCGTCTGCCTTCGGAATCTTCCCAGTGCAATACTCTTGCACTAACATCAGGAGCAGACTCATATCCAAGACCTTGTAAGGTTTGTGAAGAGCTATTAACAGGCCAGTTCTTTGGCCACCAATTGGTAGAGATAATGGTAGTATCTGCTCCTGTGTCTAGGAGGCCTGTGAAAAGCCTTCCTTGAATTTTCAACTCTAAGGTGGAGCGTTTATCTAAATCTAATGAAATAAATACATTCTGTCCTCCAGAGGAGCCAAATCCCTTCATGCCTCTAGTTAAACCTTTACTAGAAAAGAATGAATGTAAACTAGGGAGGACTAATAGCTGTGCAATTCTATCACCAGGAGCTATAGAGCTAATCCCCCTTGGTGATGAGCACATGATTTTTATTTGTCCCTCATAATCTTGATCTATGACTCCGGGGTGAACAATTAATCCTCTTAGAGTCGTAGACGATCTTCCTAGCACTAGTCCTACTGTATTCTCAGGTAAGGGTCCTGAAAAATCAGAAGGTATAGGCTGACACCCCATGGTGGGTGTTAGTACTGCTCCAGCGGTGGCACAGAGGTCCAGTCCTGCTGAGCCTGACGTGGCTCTCCTGATTGTCTTATCCTTTGATGTTGCTGAGGGTTGTTCTGCTGGTTTTCTATTGCCCCATATATTTGCGGGCCCTGGGGATGTGGGCCCCATTGCCCGTTTTTTGGCAGAGGAGAAATTGTATGTCCTCTGTCGTCTTTAACTGATCTACATTCATTTGCCCAATGTTTTCCTTTATTACACCTAGGACACATTCCAGGCACCTTTGGACGATTGTTGTTAGTAGCGTTAGGCACCCTTCATTGTCTTTGTATGTGTCCCAGCTTTCCACACCTGAAACATTTAACATTAGAGGCCCTCTGAGCCGCTAAAACAGCAGCTGCCAATCCGGCATTAGATAGAGGTCCTCCTATTTCTCTACAAGCCTTCATCCATGCATTTAGTCCTTTTCCTTTCCAAGGTGTAATAGCATTTCTGCATTCTCTAGTACACTGTTCAAAAATTAGTTGTTCTATGAGAGGCATGGCCGTCTCAGGATCTCCAAACATCCTTCCTGCCGCCTCCATCATCCTTGCCACAAAGTCTGAGAACGACTCATTGTTTCCTTGAATAATTCTTGTCAAGTTTCCTGAAACCTGTCCTTTGTTAGGGAGACTTTTCCATGCTTTTACAGCTGCCTTATTAATTTGCTCATATACCTCTACAGGGTAGGCCGTTTGATTGATAGCCCATTGTCCCTGCCCTGTAAGCATGTCAAAGTTCCATTGTGGATGCCCCTGAGCTAAATTTTGTCTTGCCTGTGAAGCACAGAATTCTTGAAAAATGGCTTTCCAATCTAGATATTGTCCCATAGTCAGACAAGCCTTAACAGTATTATACCAGTCATCTGGTGTCATGGCACTGACCATAAGTCTTTCTATTAATGCCTGAGTAAAAGAGGCATTGATTCCATAAATCTGTACTGATTCGGCAAGCGCTTTAATTGTTTTAAATCTAGCTGTGAATGTTGTCTGGTTTGGTTATCATCTTCCCATACGGGAAAGGCTACTCTTATCTTTTTTCTTTCCTTAGCTGTAATAAGAGAATTGGACGGCAGTCTTTCCTGTCTCTCTTTTGGTTTTTTCTTTTTAACTCTAACTACTTCCTCCAATGGTGGGGAAGATGGGGCATACCCCGGTGCATAAGGCAAATCCAGCCCGTATCTTTCAGACTCATAACGGGCTGCTTCTTTATCTAACTCTAACTGTTCCTCAAGATCTAACACACTATCAGAGGATGAGGTGTCAGTATCCTCTGTATCTTCTTCATCCCCTGAGGATGTCTCCTCAGAGGCGGAGTCATTTATTCTTAAATTCTGAAACTCAGTTAACACAGGATATAGTTTTCTCTTAGGCTCTTCCTGTTTTTTATGTTCCTTTTTTGTAGCTACTTCTTTATTAATTTCTTCTTTTTTCTTTTCCTTTTTCTTTATTTTATTTTTAGTGCTCTTTTCCTTTTCTGCTTCTGATAGGCTATCCTGGTGTTCTGCTAAAGCTCTTTGTCCCTCTCTTACATTGTCTTGGCATTTTGCATCCTCTATACAGGCTCTAACCATTTTGTACAGCGGCCATGTGCCTGGTCTTAACTTTCCCTTCTCCTTTTCATTAATGAAGTTGCCGCCGAGCTTGCCCCAGGAGCCCTTTGACAAGGACCCGGTGGAAACAAACCAGGGAGCTACCTGATCCACATCTCGCAGAAAATTACACAACACTTTCTCGGGAACCTTTAAACCGCGCACACGCAGCAACGCCTGCATCGGTAAGAGAAGCAGCTTCATTTGGTGGTTACGCATACTGCTTAGAGGGAACTAATTGCACAGTTATCTACCTGTGACTTACAGCTCCTGAATACACGGAGGGCAAGTACACTTCTTTACTTGTGTATGGCAGTTAAAACAGAAGCAGAGCACAAGAACTATCACAGCCCAAACGGGGATAGCAATAGCAAAATAGACAGGATCCACCATACCTTGCAGAAAAGCGTCTAGACTTCTCCCACCATCAGTTCTGAACCCTCTGTTGAGCCAACAGGATCCCTCAAAACTGGATAAAACACCGAGACGTTCGGATTCGTTCCCGGGTTTCTGGCACCAGTTGTGAAAAGCAGCCTCACCGATAAGGAGAACGCCACACTCAGGATTCTTCTGACAGCAATTTATTGTACAGCTCTTTTAGATGGCAGTGAGGTGAGGGACAACAAGCCCCAAAAACCTGCGGCTTATATAGAGCCTTAGGAGACGAGCCACACAATCATTGGCTCTTATGATATCACGAAATTAGCATACTGGTATTCCCGCCTTACACAGGCGCACATTCAAGCAAGGCTCTCAAGAAGAACCAGGAAGGAGGAAACCAGGGCCATGTTGCAATGGCGAACACAGCTCCTAACACAATTCTTCGTGTTGTGGTGACCCCCAAGGATAAAATTGTTTCCCATGCTACTCTGTTACTGTAACTTTGCCACTGTTGTTGAATCCTAAGGTGATTGTCTGATAGGCAGGATACCTGACAGGCAAAACTTGAGAAACCATCACTCATGCCCAGAGAGGCTGAGACATAAAGATTGAGAGCACCATACCAGAGCTCCTGTACCCAATATATCAAGTTGTGTCCAGTCAGCGTTTTTTTCATTGCATGGACTATCAACTCGGTATATGGTTCAGAGTGGTGCTTCCTCTATGAAGAGGCACCGTTTACATCACTAGAGCTGAATTTATCATCTTCCAGCTTCAGAACAGGCTTAAGAAGTACTTGGGGCCCATGGGATCAAAAGGCACAGTGAGGCTGAAGGAGTTTTGGCACACGGGAGCCCAGACAGCTCGGCAGTCACAGCTTCTGCAAGTCCCACCTCAGCCTTTTCCAATAGCCGTTGATGACCCACAGGTGCTGCTCATCAAGCTCTCTCCTTCACCCTCCCACCCAAAGCCTTCACACTCCTCTAGAAGCCGGGGTTTCTGCAGAGCCCACGACCTCACACCAAAGACAAGGTCGGTGGCAACTCCCTGGGAGAAAGACTTCTTGTTTAAGAACATGTGGCTGATGATTTCCTTGTCCATCTATGAGACCAATGTTACCACACTGCTACTACGCTATGCCCAGAATATGCCACACTGATCTTCCATCATGAGAAAATAATGAAGAAGAAGAAGACAGTGATTGTGAAGGAAGAGAATTTATTTGGTTAAAGGTGTGTTGATCCCATACAAAGAACAAGAATGTGAACAGCGTGGAGCTCACATTTTCCGGAAAAGAGGTTAAGAAAAGGCAGTCTGCCCAGTCACTTGTTGGCTGAGCGAAAATTCCAAACATCAAGGGCTCCAGGGTGGTGGCTTAGTCTCTACCCTACTCAGATGCCTGGATTCGCAGGAGAGGGTGTGCAGACCCATCCAAGGCTTCCAGCTTTCTGGTGTTTCACCTGTACCAACACCCTGGGCATTTTCTTCACATGCAAACAACTGTCCTTCTTAGAGAGTCAGCAAAGACGGGCAGGGGCCCAGAGGAAAGGTGGAGCCCACCTGACAGGGGAGGCACTGTCCCTGGCTGGGACACAGGTCCAACTCTCTGTTTCCAGGGGCCTCGGGTTGACAGTGTGTCCAGAGGAGCCAGGGTGAGTGAGTGGGTGAGCACTAGTGAACAAGCAGAAGCCTCTGCCCATGCTTGTTCTTGTTCTTGTTCTTCCCCTTCTTGGATCTTTGTCTCCCTGCCTGACTGCAGAGCTGCCCAGTCGTGTTCATGGGGCCCTGAGAGATGAGGAGCCTGTCAGCATTGAGCCTCGGTTGATTCTCCTTGTCTGGAGCGTTGCTGCCCCAGTATGCTGTGTATCTGGGCTGGGCAATCACAGTTGCACTGGCTGGCAGATGGAGTTGGCTCTTCCTGGGTTTCTGCCCGGCTTTCTGGTGCTTCTGCTCCTGGAGCACTTTCCCCTCCACTAAGGAGGTTTCTTTGGTTGCTGTAGTCGTCTCCCTGTTTCCGCGGGGCTCTCCTGAAGCTTCTGTGCCAGAGCTTCTCTTCTTGTGCTTTTGTTTCTTCCGGGACTTCTTCAGCTGGTATTCGGGGTCAACGGGGTCAAGAACCTCATGGACTCTGCCCACGGACACATCAACCTTGAGCTTCTTCTTGAGGTCAGGCTGCTGCACATAGAAGAGCACATAGGCAGGCTCCCTCAGGACAGAAGTCGCATCACACCTGGTGACCCGAGCATCATCCATCTTATACCACTTGCCATGGCCGGCTTTGACGCAACAGTAGTAATGTCCACTGTGACAAGTCACACCATCATGGACCAGGACGGCATGGAGGGCATAAGGCAAAGGTCTTCCAGTAGGCCGAGACAGGTATGGCTGCAGGTCAAGGAACTCCGGGTAGCTTACTTCTCTGTTCAGCTTGTCACCCCGGAAATCTGAGAAGCGATTTAACACTAGCAGGAGAACCTTGGAGGCTCTGTGAACAGTCAGGGTCTTGGAAGCTGGCCTCTTCTGGCTACACCTTCCACAGTAGTAGGCGTTGTCCCCACGCAGCTCTTCTGCCTTCACTGTATCCCGCAAGGCTTGCTTCACACTCTGAGCCGAGCTGATATCCAGGGCGATGTCCAGGAAGGGATCATAGGAATCCGAGGTGCCCTGGCAGTGGAGACACTTGATCTGAGATCTCCACAGGCCTCCAAAGATGTCAGGGATCGGGGAGCTGTCCTTAGAGGGGGAGTCCCACTCTTCGTACCCCCGCTGGCAGGATTCATGCATGGTTTGCAAGGTGAACATGAGAAACTCGTGGGCATCTTCCTGCTTGTGCTTGTGGAAGGCAGAGGTCAGGATGTGGGAGGGCCTCATGACATCCCCCGAGTTGGAGTGGAGGAGGCTCTGGGTCACATGAGCTTCCATAGCACACATCTTACAGCCTTCCGGGGAACGACAGGTCTGAGAGTGCTCCCGGGACAGCATGTAGTCAGCAAGTGGTGGTGTGTGTGTCAAGCACTGCAGGGCTGCGTTCAGGTAGCAGCTGTTGCCTGTGTTCTCCAGCCCGCATCCAGGTCCTTGGGGCCTCTCCCAACTCAGAAGGTGCTTGCCATCACTGGCAGCCATCTCCTCCACCACCTGGGCTCCATCCTGATGCAGCGCTGGGGCACCAGGAGATGGCAGGGCTGGATCTGTAAGCGGACAAGAACACAAGAAGACTTTAGGGTCAACAACAGCTTTGGCAGAGCACTTGTCAGTGGCCAAATCTTTTAAGCTCAGGCTCCTCCAGTTTAGAAAACCGGACCCACCTTACTTTCAACTCGGGGAAAACAAACAGGACAGTACCTAGCATTACTTTCCAAGATACCCACTCCCGCCTGCCCCTCCCCCACCCCTCAACAAAACCTGACCCTAAATCCAGTCTCCAGGTCACAACCCCAACAAGACCAGC